GGTGGCAGCGGTGGCAGCGGTGGCGCCGGCGGAGGAGGGCAAGGCTCTGGCGGCAGCGGCGGCAGCGGCGGCGGCGGCGGCGGCTGCGGAGGCATCGGCGGCGGCAGCGGCGGCGGCGGCGGCGGCGGCGGCGGCGTGGGTGGCGGCGTGGGTGGCGGAAAGGCGGGTGGCGGCGGGGAAGGCGGCGGCGGCGGTGGCGGCGAGGGCGGGTGCGGCGGCGGCGGACGAGGAGGCGGTGGCGCCGAGGGTGGCGGCGGTGACGGCGGTGGCGGCGGCGGGCCTTGCGGAGGCAGCGGGGCGGGCGGCGGCGGCGAGGGCGCGGGAGGCGATAGAGGCGGGGGCTCGGCAGGCGGGGGGTCTGGCGAGGGTGGTAGAGCCGGCGGCGGCGGCGGCGGCAGCGGAGGCGGCGGCAGCGGAGGAGATGGAGGTGATGGTGGCGAGGGAAATGAGGGCGGCGGCGAAGGAGGCGACGACGGCGGCCAGATCCCCCGCGATCTGGCGGAATGGATGATGGAGCTCCACTGCTCCGGAGTCCTTTGGAGGAGCGACATCGCTGCGCCGGAGAGAGTAGAAGCGCGACGGCGAGGACTTGGCGAGGAGAGATTGCGCGGGCACGAGATGCAGAATCAGGCCAGTCACCGTTCACAGCCTTGTTATTGAGAACGTCCCATGGCGCTGTGCGCTGGTCTGTGAGTTCACAGCCTTGTTATTGAGAAGAAATATGATGTAACATACAGTCTGTTGCGGGCATTAAGAAAGCGTCCCATTAAGAAACCCTAGCAAGCAATTTCCGCGAAAATCTAAGAAACCACGGCGCGCCGCAGGCGCGGCCCCAAGAAAGGGCCCACACACGAGTGTGAACAGGAGCCCCGCTCAAATTTTCTCTTCGCCTGCGGCGCGCGCACTTGTCATTTTGCCCAAGTCTGCGGTGTTCTGGGCGGTGTGGATGGAGGTGTGTGCGTCTTCCTGTCATCCCAAGACTGCTGACTGGCGCATCGGTCCAGCGCTTCCTTATTGTCATTTTACCTAAAGATTCCTAGATCCCGGCTGACCTGGGGTGCCGGCCGAAGCTAAGAAACCACGGCGTGGGGTGGGTGGGGTGGGTGGAAAGGCTTAGAAACGGCGGCGTGCCGCGGGATCCTGTTTTCTTAGTGCCCGTAACAGACTGTACTTGACCCCCCCCCCCTTGGCGGCCTTGTGATTTTCGTGCGAAACGAGCGGATCTCGGCCCGCCGTCCTCCGCTCGCGCCGGCCCCCCATGCGCTCACGGGGCTGCCCGACGGCGCGGGCCTCTTGCCGATGGACCCAGCCGAGGTGCCCGGCCAGTCGGAGCCTCGCCGCGGTAACGTAGCGTTGGGCGCGGTGGGGCGCGCGAGCGGCGCTTGTGCGTGCGTGGCATGTGTCTGAGAGTTTGCGTGTGCAGGTGCGTGCGAGAATGGACGGTAGTGCGAGAGCTGGCGTATCGGCGACAAAGCAGATCCCATGGGTGGGCAGCGGGTCGGTTGGCCTGTTTTTGGCAGCCACGCCCGCGGTGCCTTGAGGGCTGTGGATTCGTCGGAGCTCGCCGTTGCGCCCAACCACCTCGCCCTCGGCGCTAGGCGGCTCGCACGAGATGTCCTGCAAACGATGCGCCCCAGGGAGGGCGGCCGAGAGCACGTCCGCCATGTGCCTCCCGATCGCAGACGTTACAGTGCTCGAATCGGTTTTTTTCAGGCGACTCTTTCCTTTGCTCCTGATGCTACAGAGGGCGACAGCGTTTGTGCCCCGTTTGTGCCGCGTCCCGTGCCACCGAGTTCATTTTATATAGCGACAGCGCGCTGACTGACACACCACCAGGTGGAAGAGTCAAGAGAAGCAGTGGGCTGCGTTCTTTGAGATTCTGGTGTCCCAATCGTGGCTAACCTCGGAATGGTAAGAGCACTATGGCTGTGCTTGCTGTCTCCTACACACACACCACAGCCATGTCACCTAAGGAAGGATGGCTGAGCTAGCTTCACTCACACACGCATGCGGCCCGCCACCTCGCGCATACTCGAGTATTACGTGAACTAGCAACTCCGTGCACTGACGGTCGGCCGCCAGAAAACACGCCTGCGTGGATCGCGTCACACCACTCATCGCTACCCAACGCGGCCAGAGGATATCCAGAAAGAAAACAAATAAAAGACGGATGGCAAATTCTTCAAACCCGCCGCGAGAGCCAAAACGGTGAAATTCTTCACGCCGGGGCCTATCGGTACGTGCCCGCGCGCCGGGCTCGCAGCGTGCCACTGCTGCCGCTGGCCGCGCCCCTTCAACTATGTCCGCGGACGCTAAGCTCAAGGCCGACGTCGCCGCCTTCCTGCGCTCTGGTGGCGCGCGCACCTCAGCGGAGAGCGACCCGTTCAATGAGCCCAACGACTGGGAGCGTGGCCGCGGCGGCAAGGGTGGTGCAGGCAAGGGCGTCGGCAAGGGCAAGGGAGGCGGAAAGGGAGGCGGAAAGGGAGGCAAGGGAGGCGGCAAGGGCGGCGGCAAGGGCGGCGGCAAGGGCGGTCCCGACCCGTGGGCCGTGGCAGAGGCGCGGGGCTCGACAAAGCGCGAGGCGGCGGGCACGCTCGCTGCGGCCGCCAACCTCTCGGAGGAGGCGCTTCGGCGCGCGCCTCCGATGGCGCTGCCCGTCTGCTCCGCCTGGTGGGAGGAGGGCCTGGTGGCCGCCGCTTCCGGCGCTGCTCCGCTCGGGGCATCGCGAGCCACAGAGCTGCGGGCGAGGGCAGAACAGCTGCACGAGTCGGAGCAGCAGGCGTTTGCGGCGGCGCAGGCGAAGAAGCACGGCAGCGACGCGCGCTTCGTCGCGAAGCTCGTCGCCTCGGGCACCATCCGCGACCGCCTCGCCGCCCTCCAGGTCCAGATCCAGGAGTCGTCTTTCCACGCTCTTCCGTCCGTGCGGCAGCTCGTGTCGCTCGCTCAGCGCCCGCGTCCCGAGATCAAGCTGCAGGCGGGACTGAGCGCCGAGAGTGTCCGAGACGTGCCCGAGACTCGTCCGAGGCTCAGACGGACTCACAGAGAGTATCCGCCTCGCAGGCGGTCCAGATCTGGGGGAGATCTAGGGGAGATCTGGGGAGATCTGGGGAGATCAATGAGAGTGTTCGCCTCGCAGGCGGTCGAGGCGCTGCTCGCCGTGTTTCTGCGCCAGCTGCTGCCTCCCGACCGACCTCTCGTCCCCCTCGAGAAGCAGCGGCTCGGCGCGTCCCCTTCGGACAGGGCGCTGCTGTGCGCGCACTACGAGGACCGACTCAAGGCGCTCTACGGCGAGGCGGTGGCAGAGCTGTGAACAGGGTCTCTTCACACCTCTTGCTGTGAGCAGGCGCTCTACGGCGAGGCGGTGGCAGAGCTGTGAGCAGGGTCTCTTCACACCTCTTGCTGTGAGCAGGCGCTGTACGGCGAGGCGGTGGCGGTGGTGAGTGCGGGCGCGGCGTCCAACTTGCCGCATCTGAAGCAGCGGATGGTGAGCTGGCTGCACGAGGCACTGTCTGCGAGGCCGGAGCTGTCGAGTCATTGGCGACGGAGCGACGCATTAGGTGAGCGGGCTGCACGAGATGCTGTCCGCGAGGCCGGAGCTGGAGCACTCTTTGCTCCCTTCGCTCGTCAACAAGCTGGGCGACCCAGACAAGAAGGTCGCCTCCCGCGTCACGCACCTCCTGGGCTGAGGAACTATGAGTGATTAATGACTGCTTCAATGGCAGGTCGCCTCCCGTGTCACGCACCTCCTGGGCCAGCTCTCGCAGTCGCATCCCCCGATGAAGCCGGTGCTGCTCGCCGCCGTGCAGCGGTTTGTCCCTCGGCCGAACGTGGGCGAGCGCCGTAATTAATAAGTTCATCCTTAATCATCAGTTATTAATTAGGTTTGTCCTCCGGCCGAATGTGGGCGAGCGCGCACAGTACTACGCGACTATCTTCATGAACCAGCTCGTGCTGTCAAGGGCAGAGGCGCCGCTCGCTCCGCCGCCGCCGCTGGATGGCCTCTCCACTCAGGACGAGGACGAGGATGAATGATGACGCCACCCGCCGACACCCCCGCAGGCGCCGCTCGCGCAGACGCTGCTGCTCGTCTACCTCGCGCTCTTCGCCTCGCGCGCCAAGGACGCGGGCGCGCTCAAGGCGGCGATGGACTCGCGCATGCTCCCCGCGCTGAGAATTACTGATGAATGAGCAACAATTAGCTATTAATTAGGCGGCGATGGACTCGCGCATGCTCTCCGCGCTGCTGAGCGGCATACACCGCGCCGTGCCGTTCTGCAGCGCGCCGGCCGAGCTGCTGCTGAAGCAACTCGGCGCCTTCTCTTCCGCTGCGAGTGTCTAGGACGGTGCCTAGGACGTGTCTCAGAAGTGTCTAGGACGTGTCTCATAGGCGCCCTCTTCCGCTGCGCGCACGCCGCCAACTTCTCCATCACCGTGCAGGCTATGAGACACTTCCTAGACGCTTCCTAGACGCTTCCTAGACACGTCCTAGGCGCTGATGATCCTCTCTCACGCGGCCATGAGACACTTCCTAGACACTTCCTAGACGCTTCCTAGACACTTCCTAGACACGTCCTAGGCGCTGATGATCCTCTCTCACGCGGCCATGAGACACTTCCTAGACACTTCCTAGACGCTTCCTAGACACTTCCTAGACACGTCCTAGGCGCTGATGATCCTCTCTCACGCGGCCATGAGACACTTCCTAGACGCTTCCTAGACACTTCCTAGACGCGTCCTAGACACGTCCTAGGCGCTGATGATCCTCTCTCACGCGGCCATGAGACACTTCCTAGACACTTCCTAGACGCTTCCTAGACACTTCCTAGACGCGTCCTAGACACGTCCTAGGCGCTGATGATCCTCTCTCACGCGGCCATGAGACACTTCCTAGACACTTCCTAGACGCTTCCTAGACACTTCCTAGACGCGTCCTAGACACGTCCTAGGCGCTGATGATCCTCTCTCACGCGGCCATGAGACACTTCCTAGACACTTCCTAGACGCTTCCTAGACACGTCCTAGGCGCTGATGATCCTCTCTCACGCGGCTCGCTTCGACGACTCACTGACGGACCGGTTCTACACCGCGCTCTACGACGCGCTGCTGCACCCGGACCTCCCCGCGTCCGCCAAGCTCGCGCTCTTCCTCAACGTCGTCTACAAGGCCGGACGAGCCGAGATTGCGCCGAGATTGCGCCGAGATTGCGCCGAGATTGCGCCGAGATTGCGCCGAGATTGCGCCGAGATTGCAATCTCTCTCCCAACGGCGAGTCCACTCGGACCAGCGGCGCCGAAACTCGGCGACACCGCGGCGCGATCTCGGCGCAATCTCGGCGCGATCTCGGCGCGATCTCGGCGCGATCTCGGCGCGATCTCGGCGCAATCTCGGCGCGATCTCGGCGCGATCTCCGCGTCTTAGGCGATGAAGTCGGACGCGTCCGAGCTGCGCCGCGCCGCATTTGCCAAGCGGCTGCTGCAGCTCTGTGCGCACGCGACGCCCGCGCTGGCTTGCGGCGCCCTCCTCCTCCTCTCGGAGGTGGCGCGCGCCGCCCCCTCCCTCCGCGCGATGATTGCGCAGCCGCAGATCGCAATCTCGCAGCCGCAGATCGCAATCTCGCAGCCGCAGATCGCAATCTCGCAGCCGCAGATCGCAATCTCGCAGCCAGCCGGCGCCGGCGCCGCGGGCGGCGGCAGCAGCAGCCGCGGTAGCAGCAGCGGCGGCGGCGGCGGCGATGGCAGCGGCGGCGGCGGCGGCGGCTGCGGCGGCGGCGGCGGCGGCGGCGGCGGCGGGAGTGGCAGCGGAGGGGCGGCGGCGGCGGCGGCGGCGGCGGCGACGGCGGCGGCGGCGTACTCTTGGAAGAGCCGCAACCCGCTGCATGCGAGCGCCGACAAGTCGCTGCTTTGGGAGGTTGCCGTGCTGTCGCGCCACTTCCACCCGTCTGTGGCGCAGTTCGCCTCGGCGCTCGCAGCTGGGGAGGCAATCTCGTACAAGGGCGCGCCTTATCTCGCCAGATCTCCGCACACCTCCCCAAATCTCCCCACATCTCCCCACATCTCCCCGCATCTCCCGCCAGGCGACCCGCTGCACGACTTCCATATCTCCCCGTATCTCCCCACATCTCCCCTTATCTCCCGAGCAGGCGACCCGCTGCACGACTTCCACATCTCCCCGTATCTCCCCACATCTCCCCACATCTCCCGCCAGGCGACCCGCTGCACGACTTCCAGTTGGGCTCGTTTCTGGACAAGTTCGTCTTCAAGAACCCGAAGCGAGGTGTCTCGGCAATCTCGGCTAAGCTCGGCTAAGCTCGGCTAATCTCGGCTAAGCTCGGCGAATCTCGGCGAATCTCGGCGAATCTCGCCGACACTGACGCCGTGCTAATCTCGGCTAGTCTCGGCTAATCTCGGCGAATCTCGGCTATTCAGGTGCGTCGGGCGGCGGCGGCTCGCTGATGCAGCCGGCGGCGGCGGCGCCGTCGCTCTCGCTCTCGCAGCCAGCGGTGGCGCGGCAGCTGGCGCAGACGGCTGTTTCCCGCGTGCCGGCGAGAGATTGAGCCGAGATCCGCCCGAGATCCGCCCGAGATCCGCCCGAGATCCGCCCGAGATCCGCCCGAGATCCGCCCGAGGTGAGGCGAGGGCGGGCGAGCCTTTTTCCGCTCCACGCAGCTGTCGCACGCCCTCTCTTCGCACCCTCCCTGCCCGCCCCTCCTCTCTTCGCACCCTCCCCTGCCCGCCCCTCCTCTCTTCGCACCCTCCCCTGTCCGAGCGTCGATTCAGCCCAACGACCACCGAGTCTTGCAACGGTTTGTACTCGTCGACCTTAATCCGCCCGTGGACTTCAGCCCTGCCCGGTCATGCTGCGGTC